CGGTGAGAGCCCGGTACGGCCCGGGACAGCGGGACACGGGACCGGGGACACGGGACCAGGGACACGGGACCCTGCCCGGACCTGAACCTCCTCCTGCTTCTGGATTTGCTCGTGCGGGAGCTGGAGGGGCGGGGAGCGCAGCGTGGGAGCCGTGCCCGCTGGTTTAGCCCCCGCCCGGCTCCGTGCTCCGCATGGGAATGGATCTGGGAGCGCTGCCTCGCTGACCTCTTGGCTTGCAGCTGGAACCATCAAGGTCAGGCCTTTCAGCGGAGAAAAGTGCGGAGTTTCCTTAGGAGTCACTGGAAAGTTGAAAGCATCGGAGCTGGACTGGTTACCGAGAAGAGAAAGATTTTGCTGAATTCAGTCTTTTGGTAGAGAAGCCCCGGAGAAGCTGATAAATCTTTTCAGTGCTGGCTGTGGGATTCTGTAGTAATCCTGGTGCTCCCGTGACCTCTCCCTTTTCATTCTCTTTTCTGGTGATTTTCTTTTGTATGGCTTAAACAAAAGGAAACGGGCCCATGTGTAACAGGAAGACCCTTTCAAGGGGAATATTTTAAGCAAATCTGATTTTCATAGGGTGGGAAAGCTACTTTTTAGAAGCAAAGAGGGGGTTTGTTTTGGTTTACATTTAGGAAAAAAATGCCTGATAGGAGCTGTCATAGATATCTCTGTCATAGATAATTTCTGTCATAGATATCAATTCAATCTCTGTCATAGATAATTCAGTAGTATTTGTGGTACTGTTTTACCTTATTATTACAATATTCATTTCTTTGACTTGGACCGTTAGGCAGTGCTACAAAGGTAGGCCAACATTGTTCACCGAGCTACGTGTTCTTTTGAGAAGAAAAAAGTTCAGTGTCAGGGTTGTTCTGAGTCCTTTGTTGTAGCACTGAAACAGTCTAGGCTGGGGCTCATGAATTCGGGTGAATTCAGACTGATGCCCAAATTGAAGTTCCTTCAGTAATTTTGTGTGTTGATTTTCTTGATAATTCCTTTTTCCTTAGGAATTTTGCAATTCTGCTCTCACTGTGTGAAATTGTTTTCCTCAACATTTATGCTGCCGTGTTTTTCTCATTGCAAAATTCCAGTCCCCACCCATGATCACTTCCACTTCCTGCATGATGTGGAGGTTTGTAATGCCTGTGAGCAGCGTTTGTGCTGCCTGCACGCATGAAGCCTGGCCAGATGTCTCTTCTGGCTTCGCGTGTGTGAAAACAAGCAAGGTGCAGCCAGTGTGTGCCTGTTACAGACTCTGACTTTCTCTCCTCGTTTCTTCCAGTGTTTAAAAAAGCATTTCTAAAACCTCCTTTACCATCCTCTGCTTTCCCTGCTTTTGTAGTGAGCCCAGACAATGAGAAGTTCCTGATTAATTTCTCTTCAGGCATCTTGCATGTTGTCTCCAAGTTGTTAAAAATCAAGGGGAGAAGGCAGAAGGGGAAAACCAGTCATAGCCCTACCTTTTCTACGGGCAGTTTAGCAGGACTTATATGGTTTTTATTTGAACTCTTCTTAGACAAATTTCAGATAAAAAGCTTTAATACTTTGTCTCAAACTTGGAACTTTTCAGTTTAATTTTTGGTTAGTCTGAAAATCCCAGCTTAGTTTAAGGTAAGATGTAGTGCAGGGAAGGAAACTATTAGGTCTTCCTTGAACATTGCAATAAAAAACTTGTGCCTGTGGCACTGGACAGTGCCACATCTTTGGAATAAGTAAAAGTCCAGTGTCCTTCCATGTATTTGCAGTTGAACAATTAATTTTAAATTATAAGTACTATTTAGTAATGGTAACCATGAAGCAGAGTGAGCTCTTAATGGGTGATGTTCTCAGTGGACCCATAATCTCATGTTGACAAAGACATACCTGGCACTGAAGGGTGCAGCACCTTTGTGCTGCTGTGATTGTTCAAAGGGTTCCCTGAAAGTCTGATGGATTGTTTGGATCAGTTAGGGAAAGTTCTTCTCTATGTGGCCCTGTAATCTGAAAAAAATGCCAATTACTGCAGTCTTTTAGTTTTTCCTAAGTGCAATATGAAAACACAGGAGCCAGATCTAAGTATATTCAAGATTTTGAAGCTGATGGAAGCTGTCTTTTGGTTCCAAAGGGTTGTTTGAAATCTTCTTGAATTATTTTTGTTGACTGTCCAAACACAGATATTTGATTTATTATAGTGCTTGTGTCAGAAAAAATCCTTTATGTATTTTTTTTCTTCACAAGTATGCTGCAAGGATCAGTGTGTGTGTGTACACAGTGCCCTGAGAGCAGAAGGACATGCTTATTAACATCAAAGGCACTTTCAGTTCACTTAAAAATAACAGAGTAGATGTGACATAAACTATCCTAGGTCAAGAATGTTAATTATGCTTGGTCATGATTTTCTTTTTAATGGACAAGAGTACTATTTGGAAAATCACTCCTTGCACTCCTTTTCCTCTTTTTTTTTGCCCAGTGCATTCTTCAGCCTTGAGACTATGCTGGAAATGTGTCAGTACATTTGTATTACAGACAGTGCTTTTATTTGTTTGGAGGAACACATGTAGCTTTGTCTAATGAACATTTTGTGTGAAACTCAATTATAAAAACTAAGTCTTAGTAACTTTTCTCCTCACTTACCAACTCCCCTTTTAAATAACAGTGTAATTTCTGTGAGTGTGTAGCTGGTACTGTGCACTGAGGTATGCAGGCACAGCCCCACTCAGCTGTGACGCTGTTTACTCCTTGCTCAATAATCTGATAATCTTGGGTTGGGAAGAGGAACTGGGCTTTGTGGCATTGCTTGGCTATGTAAGAATTGGGCTTTAGGTTGTGAGACTACTTTGAGTACTTTTGTCTGCAGTAGAGGTAAGAACTACTTGGGTTTTGTCTCAGTAGAGTTACTAAATAGGTGGCTGTTACTCAATCCTGTTTATACCAGATGATTTTTAGAGAGTCAAGTCTTGACACAGGTTAAAGATATTTTCTTCCATAGAGTTCAATAGATGTGCAGTGTATGAACATTTTCTTTAGCTAAGACATGCTGGTCAGAGGGTCTATTCCAGCATTTTATGAGTATCATAAATAAGAGTAGAAGACAGGGCTGACATCTAAGTGATCTTTGAAGGCTTCAGCCATCCCTTCTTCTTTGTTCCATCAAAATTATCTCTAGGAGGTTGAGTTGAAACTGGAGTTGAAACTTGGTAGAGCTGTGTTTCTTCAGTCATTAGATTTCTGTGATCCAGTTTTCTGACAACTGCCATGAATTGTTCAATTCCACTTCTATTTACTGTTCTTGATCTTATTCAGTTTCTTATTTGGTATCAATTTGGTTAAATTCATAATGTCTGAGTGGAATCTTTGCCTCACCCAGGGCTGGACATGGACAGGTTATGCACAACACTAGGTTTGATGTTTCTCCATTGTCAAGACTAACTAGTATGAAATGATATTTGCTGCTGACCCGTTTAACCGTGTGTCATGCACATCACAGGGCATTTATTTCATTTAATTGTGGTGTTTAGATACTTAAGTCCTCAAGTGGGAGTGACCAACTTAAGGTTCTTGATTCCCCTGTGGCTCTTTCATGTGTCATTCCCATTTGGGACTGTGTCCTGTGACTGGGTTTGTGCTGGCACAGGGACAGCTGGATTGTCTGGATTGCTGCAATCTTAACTGCATACCTAACCCAGCCAGTGGTATCCTGCTAAAACCTCTGGGGAGCTCTTACCCTCCCTTCTCCCATGGCTCTCTGAGGTATCCAGATATATTGTATATACATGGATTTTGATGTTTCAGGTTAGGAAGAAATTTTTCACATGTCCAGGAGTTATGGCCATGAAAAACTTATGCGTTCCTTTAAATGTTAACTCAGAAATCAGTATCTTGAGTACCTAATCTTTTTGTGTGAGGTGCTGAAGGTGCTTTGCTGCTGGGAATGCAGTGTAAGCCTGAAGCAGTTTTGGGAGAACTGGGGAAAGTGACTTAGCAGGAATTCTTTCACATTTATGGTTTGTCTGCCAGAGTCCTGTCAAGGCTGGTCTTTAGTTTGGTCTCCAGGCAAGCAGTGGCTGTGTGGGAGGAGGAGTGTTCTGCTCTGCAGCAAGGATGATGAGGCTGCTCTTTAGTTCTTACACTTGACCCTTTAATTTTTCAGGGGGGAAAATGAAACAGGAGTTTTAGACTTTGCGGACTCATTATGGAAGACTCAGAAGGACATCACTTCAGCTCAGTAGAAGAGGAAACCAGATACTGGAAGGAGTTGGCTATGAAATACAAGCAGTGGTAAGGCAGTGGCTTCATTCCACCAGGTGGTTGGATAAGGTGCATAACACTTTATGCAAAGACACAGATCTTTCATTGCTGCTTGTTTAGCTTGCTGGAGGATCGTTTCAATAGAATTGTTCAAGAATATAAAACATTTCCTTTCATCTTTCTCTCTGTTCCTCACTATCTGTTACTAAGCAATAATAGCTTTGTTTATATTTCCAAATAAATAATACAATTGAATAATGGAATAAATGTGCAATGGGAGTGGACAATTGGCAAGCTGAAGTGATGCCTCATATTTGCTGTGTGAAGACAAACTCTGGGGTTTTTCTGTTTATTTGGACTTTTTTTATTTGTTTACCAGACTTCCCTAGCATGGTAGGGAAACATCTGCACATGTTTCTCTCTTCCTATTGAATGCATATGCTAGAGAAAGGCCTATAGCCTTCTGTGTTCAAGAGCAGTGTTGTTTTATCTCGCGTGTACAAGAGATGTTTATTTCACTGTTCATTGAGATGAGATCTGGTGCTGGAATTTCTCTCTAGTGCTGAGAACACACAGGAGGAATTGCGTGAATTCCAAGAGGGGAGCCGAGAGTATGAAGCTGAACTGGAGACTCAGCTGCAGCAAACAGAGTCCAGGAACAGAGACCTTCTGTCAGAAAACAACCGGCTGCGGATGGAGCTGGAGTCAGTGAAGGTGAGAGCTGGTGGTGCACCTTGTGTGCACATCCTCAGTGCAGAGGTGAACGGGGCAGGTGTTTGCAGACTCTGCCCTGTGGTGTCACCTCAGCATTACCAGAAGATTGCAGGAAGGAAAGTCTTGAAAAGAGTAAAGAAATGCCAGCCTGTTGTCTCCTCTGAGGATTCTGTGTTCCTTGATAGTGTTCCTGGAGCCCTGTTCACAGTTGTGGCTGGGTCTCAGGATAGATTTCAGATAGGAGAAATTTGTCCACAGTGGAGTGGAGACTAAGTGTGAACACAAGAGAGCTGCTGTTCTATTCCTTCTTCCCTCTATTTAGTGCTTTTGTTCATAGCTTTCTTGCTGTCTGCATCATGCAGTCACAGATAACACTGCAGAACAATCAAAGTACAAAAAGTGCAGCTGTGTTTTTGCATTAAGTAAGGAAACTCAGTTTTAAACCCTTTTTACGTAGTTATGTATTTATTATCTGACATTTCAGATAAGCTGGGAAGTAGCAGCTGGTGGGTAACACATAGAATTGAGAGTGATGAAACAGTTTCAGTCCTGGTTTTGTTATTGATCTGTCTGTCCTTAGGGAAAAATGAATTATCCTCTTTGCATTAGGTTAGCATTCTGTGAAACTAAGAACCAGCAGAAAGGCATTAACTTCCAGAACTGTAAAACATAAAAGGACCTTATTGAAATGGGGCTTCTTAGCACAGTGACTTAAGAGACAATGAAGCTATCTAAAGTATGGAGAGCGATGAGTGCCTCATTTCAGTCTCAAAGATGTTGCTATGCTGACTGACAGGTTCAGAAAATACTGGTAAATTCTCTTAAGTTTAGAAAAAAATTGCCACTGAAATTGGTGTGACTTTTTAAAGTTTAAATTTTTGTTTACAGATGAGTTACAGTCACCTAAGAAATACTGCACTGTGTTGAGGGCTAGCTCAATCTCTGTGGAAGCAGAGATTAATGTAATTACACTTCTATTCATTTGGATGCAATAATGAGCTAATGGGAGTGAAGGTATTTGTATGTGATTAATCACTGGATGAATCCAGGTTTGCAATGCCTTTTGTTTAAACTGTTGTCCAAATTACTGTCTTAAGGAAATACTCTTCTGTTCCAGGCAGTTGTCTTGTCCCTCTAGCACCAGTTTAGCCATTTCCTCCACTCCCTGCTTTTTGGTAGTAAGATCTTCAAGACTTGTTTCTTTGTATTTATGTTGCCTTAATCCTTGTTGTTCTTGTTGTAGCACTTCAGAAATATGAGATGTTGTGCATGTTGTATGTAGTATTGGTCTGCTGTTCCAGATAGCCACATAAACCCATAGAAGCTGATGGGGAGAAGACAAAAGTTTTAAAAATAAAAACCATAGTTAATTTAATTGTGGAGTGTGTAGACTATTTTCTTTCTCTAGAGTAGCTAGGATGAGAGGAAGGGCCAGTGAACCAGGCAAAACAGTGAAGAATGAGAATAGTAGGAAGCAATACAGAGCCTCAAAAAGTGGAGGGTAGCCATATTTTAGAAAATCTGCAATTATACTTCACAGTAGATAACTTTCTTAAAATATATTCTGCTTGAAATAAAACATTCAACAATTGGCTATTCATGCAGCCTGAAAACTGCAGTAACAGCCTGCAGTGAAGGAACAGAGCCACCATTGAGGGCCAGATCAGCTGATAGTTTATTACAATTGGCTAAAAACAAAGACTCAGACCTTGCAGTTCTGGTCTTTTATCTGAATCAATTCAAGAGCAAAGCATTAATCTTGTGAAGCTATTGAGCAGCAGTGTTAACTGAGCCCATCAGGGGTTGGGATCTGCATCTAGGTCAACACCAGTGAACTTTGCCAGGCCCACACAGCTTGTGGCTCTGAGCTGACCAGCCCAGTGTGTGTGCCTGCTCCCCCGCAGAAATCAGAGCTCACACTATCTGAAAAGTGATGGGAATAGTGCTTTGGAGGGTTAGGTTAGAGAGTCCTGAGAAACTATTGAAAGTAGGCTGCTACTTGGGGCTTAGAGGCTCTTAACTGTGTTTCAGAGATTTGGAATTACAGCAGTGTCACCACACTGCAGTCAAATAAGGATTTCTTAGTTCAGGATAGATGTCTCTTTCCCTCCTTGTCTATCTACTTCATGTGCTAAAATAGCTGTTTTCACATTATCATTCTCACTAGACTACTTGCAATGGTTTTCAAATTCCAGTCCATGGATTTGTTTCCAGTGACTTCAAGTGTTCTGTACTTGAATTGTCTGGAGAGCACTTCAGAAATGTTGCTTACACAGCAGTCTTGGAGTTTCCAAAAAACTGGCATGTTGAAGTGGTCTGGTAGCAAGGTGGCTGAGTATAAAGCATTGTAATAGTGAGCTGTGGAGCTTTCCCAGTCACATGGGAAAGCTTTCCCGTGTCACATACTGTGGAACTAGCTTCACATTCAGTGGCAGTGCAGGAGAGATACGATATGGAAGCTAAGTCTTCTTCCCTGCCTATGACTGTCTTAAATGTACCCTTGTATACATGCTGTAGAGGGAGACAGAGTTTGGTTTAGGTTCCCACCTGAACTGTACCTGTACCTGAAATGTTCTGTCATCTAGAATTCTGAGCCTGGTTTGTGCTAATAAAACCACTTGGGCAGTGCAGAATCTTGCTGATTCCACAGCAGCATGTAACAGGATCCCACCTGAAATATCTTTTTATTTTTGTTACTTTGGCTCCTGAATACTGCCTGACTTCACATTGCAGTTGAAAATAAGTGGCTTCTCTTGTGTCCTGCTTGTGTATTGCTAAGAAACTGTGCTGAGTCAGGCTGTCTGGGAGAGGCAAGGAATGGCTCTGTGCTGTGAGTGTTTGAAACTGTTCCCCACCACTTTTGTTTGATAAGGAGTGACAGGAAGAGCTCTTGTCTGCTGGCAGCCCAGTAGGATGTGAGGAATTGAATTTGTTGGTGTTTTACCATACGTAAAGTGATGTTTCTCAAAAAACTTCAGGGCATCTGTCTCTGCCTTTCAAGGGACTCAGACAATGCTTCAAAAAGAGAACATGTGTTGCTAAGTACCTGATGTGGTGTTTGATTTGCCTTTGAGTAGGAAAAGATTGAAATGCAGCATTCAGAAGGATACAGACAAATCTCTGCGCTGGAAGATGACTTGGCACAGACAAGAGCTATTAAAGAGCAGCTTCAGAAATACATCCGAGAACTTGAGCAAGAAAATGATGATTTGGAAAGAGCAAAAAGGTGATCTGCTTTTTGTGTGGTTTTTTTCCATCTCTATTCTGTCCTGCGGGCATGGTGGCACTGAGCTGTTTGTGACACTACTTGTTAGCATTGCCATTCTGAACTATCACTTGTCTGATGATTGTGTTGAAGAGATTCATTGAAAATGGGCAATGTGATATTTTTTTTTACCTCTTCCACTCTCCTGACTGTACTCTTTTGTATCTTACAAGCTAAAATAGAAAAAGCATAATAAAATGAAGCAAACCAAACAAAAATGCAAGTGTCCATTTTCTTGTGGGAGAGGGAGTCCTTCATATACACTAATATAGTGACCCCTAATGCACTCTTTTTCAGAGCCACTATAATGTCCCTGGAGGACTTCGAACAGCGTTTAAACCAGGCTATTGAAAGAAATGCTTTCCTGGAGAGTGAGCTGGATGAGAAAGAAAACCTTCTGGAGTCTGTGCAGCGGCTGAAAGATGAAGCTAGAGGTTAGACAGAAGTTACTTGTATCTTTTCCTTTCTCTCCCACTGCCTTGTAGCTGTTGAATGCTCTCCATATGTCTTAGAGCTGGACTTTTAATTTTGCTTCTTTAAAACCTGCTATCTGAAATATAGAAACAAGTAAGGAAACGTAAGAATGTTCTGCCCCCGCTCCTTGAACTCCTGACATTGTTACAGAGCACTCAGAGAAACAAAAGTCTGTTCCAGCCTTCTCCTAATCAGGGCTTCAGGGAGTTGAGCCAGTCCAGCTGGGGCATGTGCTGGTGTGGCTTCCCGTGAAGGTCAGCTGTAATACACATTAACCTCATTGTTTCCTGGCCTGTGGAAAGTGGAGTCAGTGAAGCACTAATCGGGAAGTAAAACAGGAGGGGTGTGGCTGACTTCTGTTTGCCTTGGAATGCACTGGCTTTTTGCTATCTGTCAACGAGGCTGGATGACAAGAGAGAGACCCTGGAGCCGGATAAATGTCTGTTTTCAGATCTTGGATTTTGTGCCCTTGAGTGGTATCCATAAGCTACAGCCAGGCTGTGGGACAGAAGTGCTCTACCCCTTGGCTAGACCTGTGGCTTCCACCTGGCCTCAGCTCAAGTTTCCTTCATGTGGAAACTAGGATAGAAAAGAGTTGAGGTAGGACCTCAACCTTGCAGGGAGCCAGAATGTAGCCAAGGTGTGTCAAGTTGCCAAGCCTTGCACTTGACGTGCCTTTGCTTACCAGCCTGTAACATTTGGAAAGGAGTTAATTTCGTGTCTCCAGGCGAGCTTTGTGAAAGGGTTTGAAAATGAAAGCCAGGTAACGAAGCTAATACTACTAAAACATCTTGAGCCACAATCCTAAAAAGACCTTTAGTTATCTGGATTTTGAAGATGTGCCTGGAGTAATGTTTTACAAGGATAAGTGACTTTACCTCACCTTCATGAGGAGAAAAACCATTTGAGCAAAAGATTACCTCCTGTTTTTATCTTAGTGGCTGCATACTCCAGCACTTGCTTTGTGTTGCTTCCTTCATAGATCTACGACAAGAGCTTGCAGTGCAGCAGAAACAGGAGAAACCCAAAACACCGATGAGAGCTCCCCTGGAAGCAGAAAGAACAGACACTGCAGTTCAGGCCTCCTTATCTGTGCCCTCAACTCCCGCAATGCGCCGGACACCCATCAGCATACCCACCCCTGGGACGTTTAGGAGAGGTGACTGGCAGGGAACCAGTTCAGACATACCATTTGATGCCCTTGTTTTTGCTATAGTTTGCTCCCTTCTTTTCATTCCTCCTTTAGCCACAGAATTGAGTGCATAGTGTAGTGTCACTTAAATAAAGCACCATGGTCTCCATATTCACAGACTGGGATTTTTTTGGGTTTGATCATAGTCAGTTCATTTCAAATTGACTTGAACTGACTGGTAATAATGAGGGATAAGATGAGCTGTTGGGACTTTCTATTTTTTCACAACTGTCCCAGAGATGTTGGTCTAATTTAGGGGAAAGGTTTTAAAAACCTGTGTGATCTGTAATCGTGTTCCTTGAACTATCTTCTCTAAGACAGTAAGGTCAATTTTTATTTTTTTATATTTTTTTTTCTTTCCATGAGTAACATATCCTTCTTTAACCTGCCCTGCAGGTCTTGAGGACAGTTATGGTGCAACCCCTCTCACACCAGCTGCAAGGATATCTGCACTTAATATTGTGGGAGACTTGCTGCGAAAAGTAGGGGTGAGTGATTACCTGCTAGGCAATGCTTTTGGAAAGCTGGAGCTCTTGGAAACTGCAGCTAGCACTACCTGTGCTGCTGGGGAGACTGAAAAGTCTCTTGACCCCAGGTTAGCTAAATGTGGTCTTGGGATTGGTCTGGACTTCAAATGTTTCTGACCAACCCCCCAAATAAAAATGGACCATGCTTGTTTTTCTAAGTTCTCATCTAGATGGGATAAGATCTCCCTCTATGAATTTCTAGAAGTGCATGTGCAGAAAAAATAAGTCAGTGTGAGTAAATTGAGAAAGGATCTGTTCCCATGAAAGGCAGAGAAGTTAGCAGGCTGGTACTTGCTGTCCATAAGGCTTCTGGTGAAATTTACCTTAAGAGTCCAGTGGTCTTTTGAGCAAAGCTTAATTTCCTGTTAAGCTGTAGTTTGATATTTAAGGTAGTGCTGATGCTGGGAAAGTTATCCCAGTACTTGAGTTTCATTCCTTATACTTTGGTGCTCTGTTGTTAAAAGCATTTGTATGAGACTGATGGGCTGAGCTGCAGAACTGATACAGCTAAAATGCAACTCAGTAGAGATGGAGTGATCTAGAATGGGAACATGTGATGGAAAATAAGTTACCTGTGGCTCATTCCCTCTGGTGTACCACCTAATACATGTCTAGGGAAACTGATAATTCATATGAATGTTTAGTAATTGAAAAATTTATGCCTGTAAGCAAGATGTAAAAATCTCTCTGAAGAAGGTGAAGATTTTGTGTTCCAGCTGGTGAAAAGCATCAGCTCCCTAGAGAAACATTCATCATTAGAGAGATGTCTTCATCTCTTCACAAATTCAGAACTCATGTGGTATTGGGGTCTAGCAGGTTCCTCTACTGGACAACTCACTCTTAAAGAAAGAAAAATACCCCAACCCCACACACTGCAGTGCCATTTTGGTGTGCCACGATGCATTCTTCTGAAAGACAACAGTCAATCTGACACTTGCCTCATCTGTTTACTTCAGGCTTTGGAGTCCAAGCTTGCATCTTGCCGAAACTTTGTGTATGACCAGTCTCCAAACAGACCTTCAGTGTCCATGTACATGAACAGAGATGTCCTTGAAACACGCCTTAGTCCTCATCAGCCTCTGTGTGATACAGGGTGAGTGCTGGGCTCTGCTTGTGTCTTAGTGACAGCTGTTGGTGTTGGAACTTAGGGACTGGTATTTAGTATCTAAGTCTTTGTTTTGGTACAGACAGATTTGTTTTCAAAGTATGTGAAATGTAAGTTATTCAGGATTATGATTTGAATGTTTCAGGTCAGTTTAAAATTTGGAATCACTAGCTGCTGAAATTTGAAGACTAGCTGCAATCAAGTTTTGAATACCTCAAATCTGAAGCAAGTGCAAGATGTTTTGTTTTAAATCAGTGTTTAAATGGGACAAAGTACAACAGTTCTTGCTTATTGGTTCAGTTTGTTTTATGCTTTATGTTTTTTTACAAGTGATGCCTTAGGAATGTTATGGCATGTAGGGAGACTTCATTTTTCGTAGTTAAGATTCTCACTTATGGGAGAACTGGGAAAAAAGGTGAATAGTTGGTCCACTGAGAATGCTGTACAGTTGCTAAGGTATGTTTTAAAGTAGCAGCTGACAGGACCTTACATTGACCTTACTCAATGTACAGATTTCTCTGAATGTTTGAACCAGTTGTCTTTTTTTGGTCAAATGAAGAAAAATCAGCAAGGTTGTTGCAAATTGCCATTCAGTGTCTGCTTAAACTGTGCCAGTCCTGTATTGCACATTCTTTTTTAGGCTCTGTGTAAGTTAAGTTCCTGTAGTGCACTTTGTTTCAGACTTGATTATTCAGCCAGACCCTTGTGCTGGTTTGTCCTGATACCCAGTGTCGTTGTTTAGAAGGAATGTTGCACATTGTACTTGCTCTCCTAGCCTGGGGAGAAACCTCATGAAAGCTCCTGCAAGTACATTTACATATTCATGCAGCTGATTATCTATCTACTGCTGCAATGCTAAACTGAAATTCCAACACCTGTAAAAGATAGTGTTCCTTACTGAAAGGAAAATGGAGCCCTGTGTTACAGTGAAAATTCAGCCCAGTTAAGGAATGGGTTCATGCAGTGCTGAGTGTTGTTCTCCCATCTCAGCTGAGTGGTTTGTTCTGAAGTGGGCAGTTATTCTGAACATGGTTACACTGAGTGAGAAATGCCCTGACTTCAGTTTTGCATTTGCAGGTTGGTGAAACGCCTGGAGTTTGGAACACGGCCTCCACATGTCCCAGGACCTGTGAACCATCCCTCACAAAGTGTTGTCAAGATGCTGCTATGAAGAGCCTGTCTGGCTTTGGGAAAGGAGAAGAAATGTGTATTTCAGACTTTAGTTTTAAAGAGAATATCAATGAGCAAACAGACAGCAGTGTCAGGGTAGGTGAGAACTGAACAAGAAGTCACAATTGGCAGTGGCTTCCAGTATAGCCTCTGGGCAAGTTCTGTGGGTGACAAAGTGTGACAAAGCAATGCTGACTGTGGCAGTGCAGGGCTGGGAATTGCTTCTCGCATCAGCTACTGTAAATAGCTCCTTGAAAGTCACTTCTTTTGGCACTGCCAAAACCACTGTCCTGCCTCCAACACAGCAATAATCACTATGCAGCTCCTCAGGCTTTGTTTTGGTGTTAATACACCACCAGTTCTGGCTGGAACTCTGCTTTCTACCATGGGTGTTGTGTGCTGCAGTCACCCAAATTAAGGGACTGTTTTTATGTGGAGAGGGGTGTATTTCTGCAGGGAAGCTGCTGAGCTCCTTGTGGGATGTTTGCTGACCAGAATGTTGCTGCACAAAAACTTGCCTCTGTAGTGGCAATATGTTTCTGTAAGCAATGATTTCTCATTCAGAACAGGTCATGGTTAAAGGTGAGATGTGTCTAGTGCTGAGAGTGCTCAGGAGATCTCAGAGCTAATAGCATGAAGACATCATCTTTTTTATTTATTCTTATTTTTCTAATTCTTAGGGTTTTTTTTAAACCCCATAGTGGCTCATAAAGCCTGGTGGTTGTAGGAGGCCAAACCTGATCAAGGTTCTAGTTCTAACATCTTGATAGGTGGGTTTTACTGCTTTACAAACCTCCCTTCACTAAGGTGCCTTGGGTGTTAGTGATTTTTTTATTGCTTTATTTTTCTATATATCAGCTATCATTAATTTAGAAATGCTTTTTTAACCCGAAAAGCCCTTTATGCTAGAGAAGTGTATATGAGTAGTGTTAAAAATGACAATATAATATTTGCTTTTGCATTTATATATTAGCTTTTACATGTTGTTATTGATGATTATTTAGATATGGTACAGTTTGTAACTCCTTTTAGCAGCTCATGAGTATAACACAATCTATTAGTAGAAACACTGGTGTGATGAATGTATTGTATCATAGGCCTTAGCAAAACAGGAAATGTTAAAATGCTCCTGTGTTACTAAGGGAACGGTGTAAGGCAATTACACTGTTCCCCCCACATCTGCTGACTGACCTCTCCAAGTGGTAAGGTCACAGTGACTCAAACCAGAGCACAGGAGAAGAACTGGAGAAGAGCTTGTTACCTCCTTTTCAGGGAGTGTGAAACAACAGGATGGAAACACAAGAAGAAATAAAATATATGGACTTAACCTACAGGATGTCATGCAGATAAGATGATGTGTAAAATCAAACAAAAGAGTTCCTGAAGCATCAAAAAGCTCACAAGAATGTTTGAATAATAAAACACATGAATATGCAGGTACCTCAGTAATGTAACAGTATCTAGATAACACTGTCTTAATCTACCAGTGTGTTCTTCATCCAATAGCCAAAAATACTCCAGTGTTAGACATTGTCTCTTTTTATTCCCTTGTTAAACTTTTAAAAATTCTAAAGAGTGAACCTTGTTTTTCACAAGTAGAGAATTATTTTTAAATAATTTTCCACCTGTAGAATATTACTGCATTTGTTTTTTAAATGGAATAGATTCATTCCCAGTGTTAATGTATGCATAATGTATGTTATGGAAGCCTCTACTTGCAAAACTAATCATGACTAAACAATTGTTTGGTTTGGTTTGGTTTGGGGTTTTTTTTTGGTTTTTTTTGTGGCAGGGGACAGGGAGAGCTTACTTGTCAAAAGAATACATAAATGGATTTAATGCTTTTTTTGTTTGTTTGCTTGTTTTTTTTTTAAGGAAGTGCTGTGAAAACAGCCACTGAAGTGTCTATTTCTCTAGAATATGTAACCACAGGTGATTTCCATTTCTCAGTTCACCTATGAAGTTGGTTTAACTGGGGAGCAGAATAAAGCTTATTTTGAATGCCAGCTGTTGATGCATTTTGAGATTTTTTTGCAAGTTATTACTGTGGAGTATATGTGTTCAGTTTGTTGGTTCTGCTCCAACCACTGGTGCTTAAGACCATTTAATACGAACTCTGACTTGCTTGTTTCCTTGTTCCCACACATGCAGGCTCACAAACTGTTAACAACCAGCTTTTGAGCATCTTTACAGATCAAACAATGATCAAGTCTCATCTAGTAACTCCTAACTCTGCTCTGCTCAGCTTGTCTTAATTGCTCTATATGGATTCTTCCTTTACTCTTTGATGAGCAGAGAGAATTCTCTGGGCTCTGGTTCTGCTGGCTGAACAGTGCCTAGTCTGAATCCCCAGTTTGTGATCTCTGCACTTGTGGAACAATGCTTAGATTTAGAAGATGATTGCTTTAGCTGTCAAGGTGGATGTTTGTGCATGATTTACTCTCCCTGTAGTCGCACTGCTTATGGTTCACTTGCTGTCCAATCAAAGGCATCAAGTAAGCTTTCTGCACTGGATTTAGAGTGATTTTACATCCTGCTTTGCTGTGCATGGCTCCCTACTGCCCCAGTGTGACCACAGAGCTGCTGCTGTCTGAAAGTGCTTGAGCTGCATGGGTTTGTGGTAGGTCCTGGTAGCTCCCAAGAGTAGGTTGTGGTCTTGCTGGAGTGCTCTAAAAATAAAAAGTAACTGTATGCTGATCCCTTAGTGCATAATAGCTTGGCTTGGATCCTTGCATTCAGTGTGGGCTGCTGTTTCTAATGGTTTCAGCCTGCTCTAGAGGCTTTGGTTGGAAATATTTCTGCACGTAACAGGTATCAGAGGGTGGGTTCATTGCCCATGGACATGGGCCCTCACTGCTTTCCAGCTCCTGCACCAGAGAGCTGCAGCTCCCTGCAGCTCCTGTGTCTATCAGCCCTTTGATGCATCCCAGGACACCTCAGCACTGTGTCCCTGAGGGAATCAAACCTGTTCCATTTGGTTATGCTGTTTCACTTCCAGCTCAATGTACAGACTTTTTTGTATTTCTTCAAAAGCATTACTTTGAAGACAATCAGGGTTTTGTTCTAATGATTACAGATGAACTTTTGTAACAAGTATTTCAGTTTTAGAGAAGCTCTGTTGCATCCCCCTTACCTTCAAGTGACACCTGTACACAAGAATAGTGGAGTCATTTTTATAGCCTTTTATTAGTGTGTAAGCACATCCATGGTGCATATAAAACTGTAACAGTTGACTTAATTTGAACAAATGATATTTTTCAGTAAGTGATTAAAAAGGCACTTCCACCTTGTGAATGGTGCATCAGGGGTGTATTAACCAGGAGAAAACCCTATATTAATTGAATACTCAAAACAAAATTAAAGTTTAAGAAAAGATTAACTGACCAATGCCTTTTTTTTCCCTGCAGCAATCTCACAAATCCTCTGTAGACTATAGTTTACTGGGATTTAAATAATTTGAGCTCCTAGAACTCACTTTCTGCAAGATTTTCAAAGTGGATTACGCTGTTAAAAATCTGCACCTTTTCAAATACACTTCATGGTAAGAAAAGTTTTGGAGTATTTTTAGCGTCAATCTATACATTGGAGACAAGGCAGTTGTGCTTTTATCTGTCAGAGGAGTGGGTGTATGTGACCTTGACACTAAGAGTAGACTTACACAGTGCTAAATATCGTCCTCCCTCCCTTCCCTTGCTGCAGTGCAATTTTTAAAGCGTGTTTAATCACTGGCTTTTGTTCCATTGAAATCTCCATCTCTTGCATCCATTTCGTCATCACCTCCATCTGTTGCGTTCTCAATTACTCTTCTGCCTCCAGATCTACGAGGTGGGGCAAAAGATGCTGGCTCATTTCCCCTCCTGCAGTAAGAGGGGAAGAAAATAGAAAAAAATATCAGGTGTTAGGTCATTTGGAATCCTCACAAAAAAATAGAGTCTTGTAACAAGACCTGTGGGGCTGATGATTCTAAATGCAGAAAAGCAAAGAGCTGTGGGCCTCTAATTCCACTTTCTGTTCTGTAACTTGTAATTTGTGAACAGGCTGAGACTCCCAATCACTTGGAAATGAGATGGGTTTCCTGTTCTTGTGCTTGTGTCCTTGTCCTCCTCTAAACAGCCTCATCAGCCCCAAATCACCCCCACTCTTCCCCTCACTTCATGTTTTCCCCTATGGGAACCGCAACAGAAAGTACTTGAAAGGAGTGGGAAAAGGGACAGCTCATACACCACAGCAGAGGAGTGTCCCTCCTGTCCCTCTGGAGGAGCAAGCAGAGAGAGCATTTTGTACAGAACTTGAGCAGTTCCTGAAGGGCCACGAGCCCCTGGGGCTCTGCTGGATGGCAGCAGACATTTCTGAGCCCGCAGTTCCTCTGCACAGGCTGTGCTGGTCAGACCACTGCAGGTGCTGTGACAGGTGTGACACCCTGGGTCTCCAGGTAACTCCAACCTCTTTCCCAGCAGGGAGACGAAATAGTCATTGCTTTGGAGGTGGTGTAACCCAGGGACTGGTGCTTAGCAGTGCAAGTGTCCTACAGGAAATGCTTTTCCCACTTTATCCCTTTTTCCTCTCCCATCTCCCTCCCATCCCCATATATTTCATAGGCACATCCCAGGGCAGGGACACTTTGGTCCTCAAGGTTAATTTTTGGGGAGGTGTGAGCAAGTGAGACAGACGATGGGTTTGTCCCATGGCCTCCATTGCTAATGTGCTACAAAGCATTTATTTCACTTTTGTGACATGGCCTCTCACTTGCCCCTCATTAAGCAAACCTTTGTAAAGGCTTGAGACCACAGATATAAGCAATAAAATAAATTCATGATCACTGGATATTGTGCCAAAAATACTAATTTGGTGTTAAATAGATCCAGGACTGCACTTTTGGGTGCAGCAATCATGCATAAATATTTAAAGGCTTGTCTTGTCCTTGCAAAAGACTAAGCCAGTGCCCTCTCTGAAGCAGCTATTTAAGTCTAAAGTTCAGTCTTCCATATGAGGGAAGAGGGCAGGAACATTGGCTAGACTAACTTAGTTCAGAGGCATGAATCTGCATTTCCAAGATGGAAATGTGACATGTAGTCCACAATTCTGCCCTTAAACTTCAGTGTGAGTGGGCAATTAGCTAGCTAAGAAAGCTTCATGTAAGTTCTGCTGATAATTAACCTAGGTTGTTCTGGTGCTGATGGCATGTATTGAACACAGGGGAGTGTTATTTCTGTCCTGGTGTGTGCTAACATCAGGATCTCTTTTTTTATGGCAGCAGGGGTTTGTTATTATTTAGCAAATAAGTTCTAATTGGGTTAATAAATTTATTAATTCTTGTTAATAAGGGAAGAGCTCTCCACCCTCTTGCACTTGTGCTGTGTGCACTCGGTTACTCATGAGCCATTTGTGCTGCAGTAATTCACTCAAGTGCTGTAAGAACGTGGCTACAAAGTGAACTCCTTATCATCCACTTGCTACTTACTAAACTGTTGCAATATGCATAAACTTACCAGTTCTTTAAACTGGTATTGGCCCTGTGGATAAAAACCTATTGTTTATATCTGTTCCTCTTAAAGAAGTTTATGTGTTTAATAATAGTCATGTGGTCATTGGTATTAGTACCTTTAGAATAATGTGTGTATCTGGGACAAGCCTCAGCACCAGTGTTTGCTTAGCACCTCTGTATTTAATCTGCCTTTGAACAAGTGCTACTGGAGTGGTGCTTGAGTAACAGTCTGACTGGAAATATTAGGCTGACTAAAAGGGACATGCAAGGACAAGACATCATCTTTAAATATTTTGTATTCACAGCAAAATCCAGCATATGTAAAATAGAAAATATACAAATATTACAAGGCAATAGCTCTTTAATTTTTGCAGTGCAGGTATTATTCCTATCTCCAGAGAATGTGCTAATAAATACAACATAATGCTGTGCTAGGTTACAGTGTCAGCTTTAATGTCTGTGTCCGTGCTCCATGTTTTAATACAGTAAACAAGCAATGTAATGTCTGTAAAATAGCTCTAAAAGCCTCAGTAATAACTCTTTGTAAGCAATACAGGCACAGAGTGCTATGTAATGAAAGACAAGACTTTCTCTTTTGTCTGTGATTGTGTGGTGTGTGATAAATCACATGCAAGTAAGGTCTTCCCAAATCTCAGGTGAATTAGAAGGGCTCTTACCTTAGGTCAGCATTACAGTGGGTACAAGAAATATCGTGAAATTCTGACATGCTGTGACACTCCATATTCATTAGTCCTTTTAATCCATTTTACTAATCAATGGTGTATTTTATTTGAAAAAAAATTACTCTTCATGGCAGTGCACAAAGATGATGTGCAAAAAAAATTCATGCAAAAAAAAATCAGAGTACTTGCTTAGGTACTCTGTTGGTAGAGCTTGTGAGAATGCAACGTTGGTAAGTCTACGTCAGTACATAACCTATTTGTAAGAAAGATGTATCGCTGATAAACAGCTGATGGTAGCTAGATTATTGTAATATTTGTCTTTTTTGAGAAAACATTAATGCCAAGATATCCAAGCCTTCACAGTTTGCAGAAACCTCAAATAATTTTAACCAGGGCCAAAGAAAATGGAAATTTGTGCAATACAAGCTAGCTGCAAAGTTGAAGGCATGGTACCTGCTTAGTCATGCGAAGGTTCCTGTGTCCCTCTGAAACAGAGATAAAGAGTCCTGGGCAGTTATACTAGGCACATGGTCATGATCAGAGGTAGGTAATTACTTTTAAATAATTAAACAAAGTACATTACAGCCAATTACATTACATTTAGATAAAACAAAAATGAGCTGTATGGTGTTCTATGTAAAAGGGCTGGACACAGCCACTGCTTCATAAAGCAGCCAGGAGCATGTAACTACCCAAGATGGTGCTAATGGAAAAGGCTGTTACATCCATAACTCTTCACTTTGAAGGGAATCCATATCCAGTAACACTGAAGCATGTTACTGGTAAATACTCTGGCAAACTATTTTGAGAACACAAGTAGACAGGTGCTTTTTTTTCA